CTCTCACTTCCAGAGACTCACCTTTGGGATGGCCCAGCTCGGCCCGCAGCCTGTTCCCCATCTCAATGAGCTGTTCCTTCTCCAGGTGGAGGCTGAGGATTTTCCTGACTGCTTTCTTTAGTTTTTTCTGGAGTCGAGGCACAGATAAGGACTGCAGGGGCTGTGCCCCCAGTTGGAGGTGCAGAAGGGGTTCCCTCTGGTCCTCAGTCTCCACAGGCCCTCCCTTTGCAAGACCCTGCAAACAGAAGTCATACGCAGACAGCCTTGTGAACCCAAAGCTCCAACAACTCTCTCATGGGAAGGAAGACAATGGGCGAGAGTATGATGGCCACCCACAGAGTCTTTTCTTCCCTTCCCTTCCCTTCCCTTCCATTCTGGCACACCACTGGGCAACATTCTTCCAAAAGAAAGACTAAAGGGATCACTGTTCCCGATGCTCCAGCGGGTTCCTTCTTTTCCCTAAGTGGGATAAATAAAGGCCTCTGAGTCTCCTGGGCCAAGGCCCAATCTGGTTACTCTGCACCCCAGTTCATCATTCCTTTCTCGCTGGGCACTGGCTCTCAGCCTCCCCCAACTCTTCCTCCCCATAAGACCAGAGGCTCTGAGCACCCCTCTTCCTCCTCTCACCATGCCTGCTTCTGGCCATTGGCTTTTGGTCTTTGTGTCTTTCACATGAAGACAGTGAGAATTTGAGGGACATCCTAAGCAGCACAGCAGCCCCCAGGACCAGGACTGGGCCCTGCCCTCCGTTTCTCTCCTTTGGCTTGCCCTTCTCTCTACTTGCTGGCTGGACACTCCTCAACCATCTTGAGGAGTCTCTGTCCTGAAGACAGCAGAATGCAAAGGTGGCTGAGAGGGAGTGGCCGACATGGGGGCAATGAAGTTGCTAGGGTTTCCCTCAACAACCAGTCCTGGGGTCAGCCCTAGCTCTGAGACCCAGGAACACCAGGAACACTGTGCTGTACCTTGTTCAGCCCAGCTTGGACTCAGGGTCCACACACACAATGTTACACAAGTGCCACCCAACATGAAGACAAGTCTGGAACAAAAATGGGGGCGCAGGAAAAACCAGTGTCACGCAGACCCTGGTCAGCCAGGAGCAGATGACCTACTTCTGCCTCACCGCTCCCGGTACCTGTGGGAAGCCAAGCCACACCTTGTCCTGGCTGTACAAGCCCTGAGTCCCTGGAACAGACCAGCACACCCTGTCCTGGCCTGGCTTCCTGGTGTGCCTATCCAGGCTGGCAGGCACCTGTGCCCTCCGGGCACTGCTGTTCTTCAGGCAGCCTGGGAGTCACACAGCCACTGTTCATGGTACCTCTGGGCATGGCCACAAGTTGATAGGGAACAGTGGGGTTCATGGGGATGACACAGCAAAGAAGAGAGACACCTGTCATTCTCTTGGACAGAGGAAGGCCTGTGGTGTTGCAGGCCCAAGCCCCCCAAATCCTGACTCTTCCTCCAGTGAGTATGACTTGTATCTGTTCTGGGAGCAGCCCGGTCTCTCCTTGCAAAGACAGCAGAGGAGCACTCAGTCTTGTGAGGACAAAGGACACAAATTGCAGCCCTTGGGCCTGGGGCGAGGTTAGGGCAGATCTGGAGGCAGGAGGCCTGGGCTCTACCTGATGGCCCAGGTAGGGACAAGGCCTAGGCAGGTGGGCATCTCAAGTTCAGTTCTAAAGCCCTGGCCCTCTATAGGAGCACACTGGATTATTGTGTTATCTAAAGTTAGGAAAGAATCCCCAAAACAGAAACTTTGCAAGCCTCAGAATACTTAGAGATTTAAGAGAAAATGTACTCTTCAAAAGCAGACCTCTTCCCTACAATGATAACCCTGATGTTACCCTGGATCTTTGTGGCTGGTGCCAGGGGCCTGGTGCCACTGATCTTAAAGGAAGGAGGAAGCTTGTGTCCTAGTCACATGACTCTGCACACAGCAACCTGGGGATTGGTAGGGAAGGATTTTACCTCTGTTGGGCTTAGTTTCTTGTAAGATTTTATTTGGCAAAAGTTTATTTTGATGACTCTTTAAAGTGTTTCCTCAAAATAAGATTCTACAGCCTGGAACTTACTCGGGAATGTCCTGAACTCTGCCTGTTCCAGGTCCCCCTAACCCAAAGGATCAGCAAAGCAGTCTCTCCAGGTGATACCCTCCCTTACCTGCACTGGGTGCTAACCCCAGTATCTTGGTGAGGGGCACATGTTTCATTGTACCTGGACAATTATAAGGAAATTAGAGGGAAAGTATGGTTCATTGAAACATCTTAATGTCTAATAACATCTGTGAATGACTGACTACTGAATCCTCTAGGAGGCTGACACAGAAGTTCCTAGGCCAGCCAGTGGGCTCCTTCCCCATGTGGTAACTCCAACACTTACAGACAGAGCCAGTGCCATGTGACAGCCAATACTGCCCCCAAGTGGACCCAGGAATATGTCCATGCCCCATCCCACTGTCCTGGTGGCCAGTGCAGGGCAGAGGGCCTGGGGAAGAAGTGAATTTTGCATTTTCAGGACCAGGGGCAGCTGACAGAGGTGGTGCAGCCCTGGGAGCTGAAACTGGGGGTGATGCAGCTGGGGGAGCCCAAATGAGGGTTGTGCTGCCCAGCCTAGGTGGGGGCCTATCTAGGAGCAGAGCACCCTGATGTGGTTCCCCAAGCTCTCCCTTTTCAAGGGGCCTGACTGGGCATCAGGCAGAGGGTCACAAGGCAGCAGAGACCAGTGGGGGAATAGGACACCATACATGCTTGGTCCCCAAAGCCACAGTGGAAAAATTCCCAGCTCTGCAGAGCTGCCCCTAGAGTTCCTGGACTTGGGGCTTGGGAGCTCAGGGGAAGACTGAAATACTGGGGCTCCTGGGACAACTTCTTCTTTTTAAAGAGTAATTCTGACTTCAAAGTTTTATTTAAGAAATATACTTCATAAGGCTAAATCTCCCATAGATAGTGATCCTCTGGTGGCTCTAAGCAAAGTAAATTGTAAACCTTTTGGAAAGGATTTACCATTCTAGGTGCCATTAAGAACATCTGCGATTCATGGGAGGAGGTCAAAATTTCAACAAAGTCCATTAACAGGAATTTGAAAGAAGTTGATCTGATTTCAACTCTTATGGATGACTTTGATGGATGAGTTCACACCATCAGTGGTGGGAGAAACTGCAGATATGGTGGAAATAGCAAAAGAACTGGAAGTGGAGCCTGAAGATGTGACTGAATTGCTGCAGTCATGATGAAACTTGAAAGGAGAGGTGCTTCTTATGGATGAGCAGAAAAGATGATTTCTTGAGATGGAAACTACTCCTTCAGCCAGTGCTGGTGATTCTGTTCTGGTCTTGTCCTTCTTTTTTTTTTTTGAGTTGGAGTCTCACTCTATTGCCCAGGTTGGAGTGCAGTGGCACACTCATGGCCACCGCAGCCTCGACCTGCTAGGCTCAGGTAATCCTTCTGCCTCAGCCTTCCAAGTAGCTGGAATTACAGGCACGCGCCACCAATTCTGGCTCATTTATTTATTTATTTATTGTAGAGATGAGATCTCGCCAAGTTGCCCAGGCTGGTCTCCAATCCATGGGCTCAGGCAATCCTCTCACCTTGGCCTCCCAAATTGCTGGAATTATAGGCGTGAGCCACCATGCCCAGCTGTTCTTGTCCTTCTACCCATCTGAGGTTACCCAGGGAACTTTAGGAAGGGACTCAAAACCTTGCAGTTCTCTTGGATACAGGCACACAGGTCACCATCCTATCTGGTTCCTCTGCTCTAGCCTCTGGGTGCTCTCAGCCCTGCAGGAGTGGCCCCTCAACGGCACTAGGGAGAGCCCCAGGCTGGAGCTGGGGTGAGGGGAGGGGTGAGGGGGTTGCAGAAACCCCTCCACAGAGCTACACGGATGTACAAGGTAATGGCGAGGAGGGGGAGGGGGAGGGACAGTATCTTTTTACCAACAGGTGTGGACCAGCTCAGCCCCAAAGACTCTGTGCTCCTGGACCCTCCCACACTTGACCCATCTCCTCCCCAGGCACCCTCATGTTTTTGCCCACACCATGGCACATCTGGCCTATCCTTCATTTATCTTGAGCCCAAGAGTCATGGGCAGCAACTTCTTCAGTCCATCCTATTCAGGGACTGGGCCATGCTCCCTGGTGCTGCAGGGATGTGGCACTGTCTTCATAGAACTCTGAGTGCCTTCCAGACATCACTTTACTACCCCTAAAACCATTGGTCATCACAGGTAACCACAAGTAAATGCAGGTCACAAGTCATTACAGGTAATCACAGGTCATCACAGGTCAATCAAATCACCACAGGTCACCACAAGTCATTACAGGTAATCACAGGCCACTGTAGGTCACCACAGGTAAGTACAGGTGACTACAAGTAACCATAGGTAACCATAGGTGACTACAAATCACAAGTCACCACAGGTCACTATAGGTCACTACAGGTAACCAAAGGTAACAATAAGTAACTACAAATCACCTCAGATCACTACAGGTCACCAGGAGGCCAAGCAGTCTGCCCTTCACAACCTTTCCCTCCTGGCCTTAGGCAAGAAGGGGCTAGTGGTCAGCTCTGCCAGGCCACAGAACTGGGGCCAAGAGCCCTCTCCATGCTCAGAGCCTGAGCTCGAAACTAGTCATGGGATGCTGAGGGCCACAGCCTGGGGCAGCCCCACGCAGCTCTGAGCACTGTAGTGTGTGCCACATGGCCCCCTCCTCATGTGGGGAGAGCCCACCATGCCTCAACGCAGGGCCAGCCTGTGCACCCAAATGTCACCTTAGCAAGTCACCAAGGTTCCAACTTTAGAGGAAACATGAGAGTATCTAGTTAAATCAAAGGACTAGAAGTAAGAGCAGGCTTGCCTGGGAGAGGGAGAATAAGGGAGGCAGAGTTGACCACCAGGCACGACCTCCACTACAACCCATGTGCTGCTTATGATCCTGGAGTACCACAGGCAGAATGCCAGCAGGAAGGCAAAGAGGCCAGGGGCAGGAGCTGGCAGAACCCACCTCTTTCTGGAGGGCCGCAGTGTCCGAGGCTCCAGGTTGCTTCCTGCCTGCAGGCTCCACTCCTTGCTGCCAGGCGGTCCCAAGATGCTTCTCCAGCTCAGTCACCTGCTTCCACAGCTCCAAAACCTCCAGGTGTAGCTGGTCCACCTGCCGGGGAAGGTCACATCGGACCGTGGCCAGCTCCAGGGGTTCCTGTAGCACCTGGAAGGCGTTGCAAAGGTCATGTTAGAAACAAGGCAGCAGGTGGTATCTAGAACATGCCCCTAGACAAGGACAGGAAGAGTAAGAGGGGCCACAAGGCAGAAGTGCAGGAGAGGCAGAGAGGAGCCCTGGGTCCGTCTCCCATCTCTAGCTGGATATGGTCATCCACACACCTGCACCTTCACCATCACCACTGTTCCTGCTCACCCAGCTGGCCCTAGAGATCTCCACCTATGACCTGCTTTGGGCTCCAGGGCTGAGGGGGGAGGGTGGGTCTGAGCATTGCAGTTTGGGCAGAGATAGGACCTTAAAACCCCCTTCCAGGCCGCACAATAGCACACATCTATAGTCCCAGCACTTTGGGAAGCCAAGATGGGAGGATTGCTTGAGTCCAGGAGTCAAAGGCCAGCCTGGGCAATACAGTGAAACCCTGTCTTTAAAACAAACAAAAAAATTAAAAAAAAAGAAAAAGAAAAAGAAAAGAATACTCCTCTTTCCAAGCCCTAGTATCAGAAAGAAACAAATGCCTGTAGAAAATTGCAAGTAACAAGTGGACAAGTGGGAAGTATAGAATTGTTTTTTCCAGCAATCAAAGGGCACTGAGATGGGGAGGTGGGTGCAAGGGAAGTTGGGGGGCTGAGGGCTGAGGCTATTGAAGGCAGGTAGGTGACCCAGAAGCAGACAAGAGGCAGAGGTGATGGGAGGTTTGGCAAGGGAAGTCACAGGCCACAGGAATGACTTCAGGCGGCTGCAGGTTGGCTGTGAGATCCCTGCCCGGGGGTTTCCTGGGCTGGTCTCTGGGTGATCATTTGGTAAACACCATTCAGTTAAAAAAAACAAAACAAACAAACAAAAAAACTTGGAGATCAAAAAATTTTTCCAGGATAATCAAATCATCTTTGATTACCAAGGTAAAATTAAAAGTTTTAATCAAAATGTTGGTTTCTTGTTTGTAGTGCGTGCGCGCACACATGTAAAACTCCAACAGCAACAAATAACTGGGAAAAGGCAACTCCAAAGCATCACAGATCTGAAGTTTTCTCTTCCCCCTCATACCTATATATGGATCTTGAATCCCATGAATAGAAAAGTAGTTCAAGCCGGGCTCGGTGGCTCAGCCTGTAATTCCAAGCCTTTGGGAGGCTGAGGTGAGTGGATTGCCTGAGCCCGTGGATTCGAGACCTGCCTGGGCAGTGAGACCTCATTTCTACAATAAATCAAAAAATCAGCCGGGCATGGTAGCGCATGCCTGTAATTCCAGCTACTTGGAAGGCTGAGGCAGAAGGCTCGCCGGAGCCCAGCAGGTGGAGGCTGCGGTGGCCAGGAGCGGCCACTGCACTCCAGTCTGGGTGACAGAGTGAGGCTCCAACTCAAAAAAAAAAAAAAGATAAGTAGTACAGTTCTTCTCCATTGCAACAATAAAGATGCACTTCAATCCAGATGAGACATCAGAAAAAATAAGAAGTATGTGAGGCAATGCATGTGTCAATTAGCCTGAGTTATCCATTCTATAATGTATCCATATTTCAAAACATCATGCTGTGTACCATAAATATACACAAATTAACTTTTTTTTTTTGAGTTGGGGTCTCACTCTGTCACCCAGGTTGGAGTGCAGGGGCATGACTGTGGCTCACTACAGCCTCAACTTCTTGGGCTTGGGCGATCCTTCTACTTTAGCCTCCGGAGTAGCTGGGACTACAGGAGCATACCACAATACCTGGCTAAGTTTTTTATTTTTTGTAGAGACAAGGTCTTGCTGTGTTGTCCAGGCTGGTTTCAAACTCCTTGGCTCAAGTGATCCTCCCACCTCCCTTCTCAGGTGCTGGGATTACAACCATGAGCTATCACGCCTGGCTTTACTTGTCATTTTCAATTAAACAACCAATCATCTTAGGAATGTACAAAAGATAAGGCATCCAGTTTCTGAAGCACTGCCCCTCCCTGCAGTAGATCAAAGTCTACAGGAAATTTGTAATTTATGTACTTAGGGATATAAGAGGACATGTGAAAGTTCCCTCTTTGTGTTGCCTCATGAGAAATAAAAGGCAACAGGTTAGTATAAGCCAGCCATATAGGCAACAAGAAAAAAATAGATAAACTGAACTTGATAAAGATGAAAAGTGTTTGTGCTTCAAAGGATACCATCAAGAAAGTGAAAGACAAGCCACAAAATGGGAGAAAAACTTAGCAAGTTACATATCTGATAAGGGACTGTATCCAGAATATAAAGAAAATTCTTATAAATCAACAATAAAACAACAAATACCCCAATCAAAAAATGGGTAAGGGATCCAAATAGACATTTCTCCAAAAGATACACAAATGATCAAGAAGTCTGTGAAAAGATGGTCAACATCACTTAGTAATCAGGAAAGTGCAAATCAAAACCACAATGAGATCCTACTTTACAACCACAAGGAAGGCTAGAATCACAAAGATAGGAAATAACATGTCAGTAAGGATGTAGAGAAATTGGAACCTTCCTACATTGCTGGTGGGAATGTAAAATGGTGCAGCTGCTGTGGAAAACAGTTGGGCAGTTCCTCAAAGATTTAAACATAGAATTACCATATGACCCTGCAACTCCACTCCTAGAGATACACTCAAAATAATTGAAAACACAAGTTTACACAACAACTTGTACAAGAATGTTCACAGCAGCACTATTCACCATCTAAAAAGAAGGAACAACCCACTGTTCATCAATACATGAATGGATAAACAAAATGTGGCATATCCACACAATGGAATATCCTCCAACCATAAAAAAGAATGAATTTCCGATACATGCACAGATGAACCTTGAAAACATTATACTAAGTGAAAGAAGTCAGACACAAAAGGGCAAGTATGATTCTGTCCATATGAGGTACCTAAAATAGGCAAGTTTATAGAGACATAGAGCATAATGGTGGTTAGCGCAGGCTGGGGAAGGGGGATGGGGTTACCCTTTATGGATACACTTTCTATTTGGGGTAGATGAAAAAGTTCTGGAAATAGGAAGTGGCAATGTTTACACAACAAGGTGAATCTTTTTTTTTTTTTTGAGTAGGAGTCTCACTCTATCACCCAGGCTGGAGGGCAGTGGCATGTTTTTGGTTACTACAGCCTCGACCTGCTGGGCTCAGGCGATCCTTCTGCCTCAGCCTTCCAAGTAGCTGGAACTACAGGCACACGCCACCATGCTTGGTTAATTTTTTTATTTATTGTAGACATGGGGTTTCACCAAGTTGCCCACATTGGTCTCAAACCTGTGGGCTCAGGCAATCCTCTTTCCTCGGCCTCCCAAAGTGCTGAGATTACAGGTGTGAGCCACCGTGCCCGGCAAGGTGAATCTTAATACCAATGAATAGTACACTTAAAAATGGTTAAAATGGTAAACTTTGTTATGTATACTTTACTACAATTTTTTTTAAGTGAAAAAAAGGTATAAATTTATAGCAATCAAAACTGGGTTGTGATCCCAGCCATATGAGGGACAGGGTAGAATTTGTGCTGGATTCATGTGGTTGTCAGTCTAGCATGATTATAACCTAACCCACAGAAAGACAAGGGCCCAGGGGCCTGGAAAGGATGGTGCTTGCCAAGGCACCAGCGTCACAGGTAGACTCATTGATGACACTGAGTATATTGTGCACTTTGCATTGAGATATGGACAAGGGTCTGTAAGGTTAGGCAGGTGACATCAGGGGAGTCCTGAGGAACAATAATGCTCAGGCCTTCTGCCTGTTGGCACTGCCCCACTGTCTCGACCTTGTTTACCAGATTCTGATAAACTGTGCTTTCAATGACCACATATAAGAGGAACCAGTTATTCCTCACAGCAGCCTGGTCCTCAGAAGGAAACAGAAATAGCAAGGAGGTCACCTGGGGTCACACTCAGCACTGCTCAGTGCCTACATATATGCCCCCCATCATGGCTCTCTAAAGGTCAGACTCCACAACCTCAAATGTGAGCAGAAAGGTCTTACCTTCTGATTGAGTTGAGTCACCAGCAAGTTCAAGAGCTGTACTCTGTCTACGAGCTTCCTGAGCGCAAGTCCAAAGGAAGCTTGACCAGCTTGGACAGCTCCTCCTGTAGAGAAGAATTACTTCTGTCAGGCTCAGATCTAAAAACTAAGGAAAGTCTTTCTGAGGAGAGGAATATCACTATTGTTTCTGCTGTCTCCTATGTAAATCCAAGGCTCCTGACAGTTGACTTCAAAGTACGATGTTCTTCACTGGAATCATTGGGTCTGGGTTCATATGAAGATGAGAGATGTGTTGTACAGAAAGTATAATACTCATGCAAAGAAAGCAGGGATCATAGAAAAAAATATGACCTTACCATGCAGTGTCTGATAAAGATCAATTGCTCTAGTGTCTCCACTTAAATATGGGGCCGTTTGTTTGGAAATTAAGAAAAAAGATAGCCGGGCTGGGTGGCTCAGCCTGTAATCCCGCACCTTTGGGAGGCTGAGGTGAGTGGATTGCCTGAGCCCATGGGTTCGAGATCCGCCTGGGCAACTTGACGAGACCTCATCTCTACAATAAATAAAAAAATTAGCTGGGCGTGGTAGCATTCGCCTGTAGTTCCAGCTACTTGGAAGGACAAGGCAGAAGGATCGCTGGAGCTCAACAGGTTGAGGCTGCAGTGGCCAGGAGTGTGCCACTGCCCTCCAGCCTGGGTGACAGAGTGAGACTCCAACTCAAAAAAGAAAAAAAGATGACCATACAGTACATGTGTCAAAGAGGAAATCACAATGGATATTACACATCACTTTGAACAGAATGATAATAATACTACTTTCCAAACTTAAGGAATATATTTAAAGCTATCCTTTCAAGAATATTTATAGTGTTAGACTCAATGAGCTAAACATTAATCTCAAGAAATTAGAAAAATAGCTGGGAATGGTGGTGCACACCTGTAATCCCAGTACTTTGGGAAGCAGGGGTGAGAGGACTGCCTAAGCCCATGGATTTGAGACCAGCACGGGCAATTTGGTGAGACCTAGTCTCTACAATAAATAAATAAATAAGAAATTAGTTAGGCATGGTGGTGCACATCTGTGGTTCCAGCTACTTGGAAGGCTGAGGTGGAAGTATCACCTGAGCCCAGTGGGTCGAGGCTCTGGTGGCAGTGAGCGTGCCACTACACTCCTGCCTGGGCAACAGAGTGAGAGTCCAACTAAAAAAAAATCCCAATAAATTAGAAAAATAATAATCAAGTTAAAGCCAAATAAAATGGAAAGAAGAAATAAAGGTTAATATTAGATACTGAGGAGACAGAAAATAAATGTGTAACAGAGAATCAATAAAACCAATAGTTGATTCTTTGAAAAGGCTAGAAGATAAATACCTGGTAAGACTAAGTGAGAAAAACAGAACAGAAGCAAATGACCAATAGGGCAAATGGCAAAAAGGGGTCATCACCTTAGATCCTATAGATATTTAAAAACTCGTAGGAGTATACCATAAGCAATTTTATGCCTGAATTTGGAAAATTTAGATGAAATGGACAATTTCCTAGTACAATGTAACATCAAAAATCATGCACAAAAAAGAATATCTGGATGTCCCATAACTAAGAAAAAAAGTTGAATTCACAATTTAAAGGCCCAGGTGACTTTAAAGTTTGAATTCTATCAATTGTTTAAGAAAAATTTACATAAGTCTGACAAAAGCTTTTTCAAAAAACAGAAAAATAGGGAACACCTTCCAATATATTTATAAAGCCTGAGTAACTTTGATTCCAAAATCTGACATGAACATTATGAGAAAGGAAAAAAGCCAGTCTTACTCATAAACACAAATGTATAATCCTCAATAAAGTGTTGTACTAGCAAACCAAGCCAGGCACGGTGGTTCCCACCTGTAGTCTCAGCTACTCCGGAGGCTGTGGTGGGAAGATCACTTGAGCCCAGGAGTGCAAGATGAGCCTGGGCAATATGGTGAGACCCTTTCTCAAAATAAACAAAAACCAAATAACCAAGTAAGTAAATAAAACATTAGCAAACCAGCTCTAGCAGTATATAAAAGGAAGAATCTCTCACAATATGTTCAATTTATCCCAGAACTGCAAAGTTGATTTAACAAGATGGAGCACATGTTGTCTACCCTACTCCTCTCGCAAAACACCCTAAAAGTCCTGGCCAGAACACACACAGCCCTTATGGGAAGGGTCTGAGAGGTGAGGAAAAGAAGGCTGGGTGGATTCAGAATCCAGGGTGACCGGTAGGGAGCCCCTGGTCTTCCTTCCTGCATACCCTGGCTTGGATGCTGAGCAGCCACAACCCAGAGACACTGGTGAGCTCAGGGGGAAAAAAAGGCCAAGAGCCCCTGCTTGGGCCAGAGCAGCTGCAAGAAGGAGACTTGTGGGACCATACCTGCCTTCCTCCCACTTGGTTCTGCACCTGCTGTGAACTAAGCATAGCACGCCTTACAGAAAGAGCATACAGGTAGGATCACAGGAAGAAGTCTGTGTGAAGGTTCTGAGGAGCCCATGTGTGAAACCAGCCAGAATCAAGGCTGTAAAACCTCTGAAAATTGAACTGGGGCAGGGGGCACTGCTCAGGATTTAATCAGCCTCTCAGTGACTCACATGTAGGTAGAACAGAATAGTACCATTAAGCTTAAGAAAGTAACAAACATTCAAATCTCAGCCCAAGAGAATGGGTCAAGATATGCACTGTGAACCTGGAAAGATTGCCTAATAAAATAAAAGACAGCATTAAAGTAGTAGTTTAATAAGAAGCAGAATTTTGTAGCATGACACTCAAAACGTCCATAATACAATCAAAATTACTCTTCAAATTAACAACCAGGAAAATCTCAATGTGAATGGAAAAGTCAACACCAAGATGACATAGACTTAGAACTGCTAGACGAAGATTTCAAAGCAGCTATCAAAAGAATACTCCAACAAGCAATTTAATATATTCTGAAAACAAATGGGAAAATGAAAGTTTCAGCAAAGAAAGAGAAGATTTTTTAAAAATGAAACTTTTAGAATTGATTTGGAAACAAAAATCTCACTGAATGGGCTCAATAGCAAAATGGAGATGATAAAATAAAGAACTGATAAGCTTAAAGAATAAGTCAATAGCAGTTATCCAACCTGAACGATAAAAAAAAAACAATTGAAAAATATATATAACAGAGCCTCAGGAACCAGCAGGACAATAACAAAAGATCAAACATCTGTGTCATCAGAGTCTCAGAAGGAAAAAGAGTGTGGAAGCTAAAAAAATACTTGAAATAGCCGGGCTCGGTGGCTCAGCCTGTAATCCTGCGCCTTGGGAGGTTGAGGTGAGTGGATTGCCTGAGCCCGAGGGTTCAAGACCCGCCTGGGCAACTTGGTGAGACCTCATCTCTACAATAAATCAAAAAAATTAGCCGGATGTGGTAGCGCGCACCTAGAGTTCCAGCTACTTGGAAGGCTGAAGTGGAAGGATCGCCGGAGCCCAGCAGGTCGAGGCTGCGGTGACCAGGAGCGGCTACTGCACTCCAGTCTGGGTGACAGAGTAAGACTCCAACTCAAAAAAAAAAAAAAAAAAAAAAAACTTGAAATAAATAATGGATAAAAACTTTTCAAATCTGGCAAAAGATATAAACCTTCAGATTCAGTGTCAGACAGGATAAACCAAAGAAATCTATGCCAAGACACAACATAATGAAATTTCCAGCCGGGTTCGGTGGCTCAGCCTGTAATCCCGTGCCTTTGGGAGGTTGAGGTGAGTGGATTGCCTGAGACCGTGGGTTCGAGACCCACCTGGGCAACTTGGTGAGACCTCATCTCTACAATAAATCAAAAATTAGCCGGGCATGGTAGTGCACGCCTGTAGCTCCAGCTACTTGGAAGGCTGAGGCAGAAGTATCGCCGGAGCCCAGCAGGTCGAGGCTGCGGTGGCCGGGAACGGCAACTGCACTCCAGTCTGGGTGACAGAGTGAGACTCCAACTCAAAAAAAGAAAAAAAAAAGGGTTCTGGAGAACAGTCTGGCATTACCAAGTAAAAGCACAGTGTTAAAAGGAGTCAGACAAAAGCGTACATACCATATAATTCCATTAATATGAAAACAGGGAAAATGAAACCATGGAATGAGGAGTCAGAACACTGGCTAACACTGGCTAACTTTAGAGGGAGCACAGGGGACCCTTGGGTCTGGTGAGAGGGTACTCATGTTTGTGATAATCCCTGAGCTGTACATCTGCACTTAGTGGACTTTCTGTAGGGATCATCTTTCCTTTTTTTTTTTGAGTCGGAGTCTTACTCCGTCGCCCAGACTAGAGTGCAGTGGCACGCTCCCGGCCACCGCAACCTCAAGCCACTGGACTCTGGCCATCCTTCTGTCTCAGCCTTCCAAGTAGTTGGAACTACAGGCGTGCGCAACCACGCCTGGCTAATTTTTGATTTATTGTAGAGATGAGGTCTTGCCAAGTTGTCCAGGTGGGTCTCAAACCCGCAGGCTTAGGCAATCCACTCACCTCAGCCTCCCAAAGCACAGGATTACAGGCTGAGCCACCGAGACCGGCTCATCTTTCCATTTTTAAAGAGACCCTATAGCTGAGACAGAGCACGCAATGCAATGAGATGAGGACTCACCAGTAGTCTCTGTCGAGGTGTGGGTACTGGGTGGAATGTCGGCATGAGATGAGGACATCTTCAAAGGATTCAACACATCTCCAAGTTGCTCTTCCAGTGCTTTAAACTTATCCTTTAAATTTTGCATTTCTGCTTCAAGGGCTAGAGTATAATCTGCCAGAAAAACAATGAACATAACACACATACATGGCGTTCTTTCACACGATCACACCCACTACCACCAGGGCAGAGAGCCAATTCTAGCTCATGCCCGTTTACTCTACTGGCCCTGTCTTGCTCCCAATCCTTCCTCACAACTGCTCCCACACTCTGTGTGCCAACCTGAAAGACCGTCCCTCTCTTCCTTCACCACAGTGTACCAGCCAGAGACTAGTGCAGCTTCATGTTCTCCAAGACCTCTAGCCCACATGCCCCTGTGCATAGAAGGGAACTGAGCCACTAGCAGCCTGGTGTCTATCCGCTGAGGGCTATCCATGGCATCCCCAGGTGTGGGGCTGCCGTGCTCAGCTCTGCCACAAACGTTTCTCTGGAAGAAGGGCCTCAGGTCCACTAGCCTCTACTACCAACACCCTGGGACAGTACAATGCCAAGCCAGTCTTGGTCCAAGTCTAAGATTTTGGTTTTTAAGTGTGTCGGGTGGGTATCCTCAGTTTTTTCCTTCCATTTTATCATATAACAGTTTTTTTTTTAAATTAGAACTTAAGATCCCTTCTCTTGGAGGAAAAGCAGTTGTCATACTTTGAAGTTATTTATTTATTTATTTATTTTATTTTTTGAGTTGGAGTCTCACTCTGTCGCCCAGACTGGAGTGCAGTGGCCGCTCCCGGCCACCGCAGCCTCGATCTGCTGGGTTCCGGCGATCCTTCTGCCTCAGCCTTCCAAGTAGCTGGAACTACAGGCGCGCGCTACCACGCTTGGCTGATTTTTTGATTTATTGTAGAGACGAGGTCTTGCCAAGTTGCCCAGGCGGGTCTCGAACCCGCGGGCTCAGGCAATCCACTCACCTCAGCCTCCCAAAGCGTGGGATTACAGGCTGAGCCACTGAGCCTCGCTTGAAGTAATTTATTCAAGAGATGTTAACTTATAATGCTCCAAAACAAAGCCTGCTTACAATCCAATAGACACCTGTCCTTCCCCTAACCCTCACTGGTCTCCTTCTCCTCCCTGCCTCCTCACCTCCCTCTCTTGTTCCATCTCTTCCCCCTTCCCTTACTCACCAGGAGTGGCAGTATCTCCCTCTGCCTTTGGATCAGGCTGATTTGTGTTTAAGGTCTCCCTTCCTAACTGAGCAGAAGGAAGAATTTGATCACTTAGAGTTTCCATTTCTCTCCTCATTTGTGCAATAGCATTTCGCAAGTTTGCGTTCTGCTCTTGTAGCTGCTGGATCTCACTAGATGGAAAATCTTTATCTATTGCTCCTTCATGCTGCCTCAGGAGTATCTGTCAAATACAAAAACAAAAAACTGGCTATGACTTACAAAAAAATTAATGGTTTCCATGCTTGTCCTGAAGGCTGCACCTCCACTCTCCCTAGGTCCCTCTCTGGCCCATCCTCTGCTTCACCTTGGGCTATGGTCCCTCTTGTCCCCTCTCTTGTCCTCTAGGGCTGCAATGACCCTCCTCTGGATCTGAAAGAAGTACGAATATGACATTCAAATTCGTGAAGCATTCTATATTGTTGAGGTACCTAGCGTCTCATTTATAGAGACAAAAAGTAAAAAGGAGGTTGCCAGGACCTGGGGGAGAGGGCTGAAGAGTGTTTAATGGGGGCACAGTTTCAGTTTGGGGTGATGAAAAGAGTTCTGGAGATGAATGGAGGTGAAGGCTGCAAAACAATGTGAATGTATTTAATGCTACTGAAATGGACATTTAAAAATAGTTAAAATCCAGCCTGGGCAACATAGTGAGACTTCGTCTCTACAAAAAATAAGCCAGTTGTAGTGGCATGTGCCTACAGTCACAGCTACTCAGGAGGCTGAGAAGGGAGGACTGCTTGAGCCCAGGAGTTTGAGGCTGCAGTGAACCATGATCGTGCTATCGTACTCCAGTCTGGACAACAGAGTGAGATGCCGACTCAAATTTTTTAAAAAAGTTAAAATGCCAAATTTTACACTATGTATATTTTAGTATAATAAAAAATGCATTGACTAGGATAGAATTAAGAGCAGATCAAACAAAGAAGTTAGAAAAAAAGCAGTATATATAAACACATGGCAATAGAAAATATTCAAACTAAAGCACAGAAGAAAAAGAGACCAAAAAGAAGAAAAATTCACTGAGCTTTAGCAGTCCAATACATAAGGAAACAGCAACCCAGAAAAACAACAGCGGCAGAAAAAATAGGTTGCAACATAGCCCAAAATGTTGCAAATTGGCCCCTGTCAAGCTAATAGATACAGCCTTCTCCCTGCAAGTCTCTGTCTCTCTCTCTCTCTCTCTCTCTCTCTCTCTCTCTCTCTCTCTCCAGCAGCAGACAGAGAACTACTACGGACTCTTGTGAGCAGCAACAAAGACAGATGACAATGAAATGACACCTTGGACACGCAGAAGGGGAAAACAAACCCCATCAACCCAGATTCCTCCAGGGAAAGTGTCCTTCAGAATGAGAATGGACTCTGTAGTTTACAGTTATTTGTTTCAACTGAGCCCAAAACCCAGCCAAGATGTGTGCAACAAGTACAGCTTCTCGCTGGGTGCAGTGTTTGACACCTGTAATCAGGACTTTGGGAGGCCGAGGTGGGAGAATCATTTAAGGTCAGGAGTTTGAGACCAGCCTGAACAACATAGCAAGACCCTATCTCTAAAAAAAAAAAAAAAATTAGCCAGGCATGGTAGTTTACCCCAGCTACTCAAAACAAACAAACAAACAAACAAAACTTCCTCTCCTCCAAGTTCAACATGGGGTTAAAGGACTAGGGCCCACTCTCTACTCTGTACTTCATAGGCTACAAACCCAAAGCAAGATTTGGACCCCATCCTGAGGGCCTTCTGACTACTGGCAGAGCCAGTAGCCTGGGTTCTCAGAAAGAGGTTTCACACAGTCGAGCTGGAGGAGAGGTGGAGATGATGTAAGTTCAGAAATGGAGACACAAAAATGCCCCCTACAGTGTTATGATAATATTTGTGAACAATCTAAAGAACCATCATTAAGAAAGTAACTAGATACAATATGGTTTGATAAAATATGCACATGATAAAATATGCAGTCATTTAAATTATGGTTTTGAAGACTTTTAATGACATGGGAAAATATTTTTGGTAGAATTGAAATGAAAAAAGAATTCCCCAAGAGAAAGTCACGAGGGCAGAACCTCCAATGTGGCAACCTGCCGTGCCAGTTACAAACACCACCACCATGTGTTTCATTCACTTACTCACAGGTTCTGCCCAGGGATTGCTAAGAGCACTGCACATGTGAACTCACTGACATCAGGTTCCCTATATGTGACAAGCAGAGGCTCCAAGTGGTTCAACTGGGATATTCATCAAGCAGGGACTGAGCTGGGTTTAAACCTCAGGTCTGCTTGGTTTGTTTATGCTAGACAAAACCTTTTAAAATTTCTGCACTGGCCAAATAGGACTTTCATTTCCAGAATGATGCTATATTTTCTTCCCATTGACTTATTGATGTCTTTCCTCAAGCCATCCTCCAGTGCTGGGTAGCAGCTTGCAATCTTCAACCGCCCACCTGCCTTCTAGTCCATTCCCTCAGGCCTTACCACCCACTTCATGCATTCCCTATCTCACACATTTGCCCTCCTTGGGAGTGCCTCCAAGGCTGTCTCCTGCCCCAGCAGAATAGCAGGGTGATTGGGCACAGCTGCATTAGCCTGGCTCTATCAAACTCTCCCACCACCACTTGCAGAGACAGTGACCTCTCTTTCTGTGCCTCAGTTTCCTCATGTGTTAAATGTGACGTGTGACTGATGAGAAGAAAGCACCTGGAAAGCCTAGTCAGCTCTGGTTGCCACAGTCTGGCTTGTGATATTGGCCAGGAAGCCTCCCGGCTCTCATACTGGCTGCATCCTCCCCTCTGGGGACCCACATGGCAACATCTTTGCACCAGAAGTCATCCTCCTTTGTACCAGGGTCTTCCTCCTCAGAAGTGACCCAGTCAGCATTTTCCCCACCTGAGTCCTGGTTCTGAAGCCAGCTCACAGGCTCCTATGTGCAAACAGCCTCCCAAGTGGCTTCCACCTCTCCTCTGGGGATCAAGGTGGTCAGAGGACAAGCTCGTGTTCAGCTGGAGCCCCCATACACGTCAACACACGTCACCTTGGGATCCCATGGCCAGGCTCCCTTTGTATAAGGTCACAAGTGCATGCCACCTGGCTCTCCATGGATTGGGTGGAGTGCTGACTGCTCCTGACCCCAAGCCCACTTCTAAGGATCATTGTTCACTTAACAAAGAAACCAGCCAACTGATAGGCCTCCTGACCTGCTTAGCTGGTACCAGGAGACAAATGTCTTCTTTTTTTTTGTTTTTTTTTTGAGTTGGAGTCTCACTCTGTCGCCCAGACTGGAGTGCAGTGGCCGCGCCCGGCCACCGCAGCCTCGACCTGCTGGGCTCCAGTGATCCTTCCGCCTCAGCCTTCCAAGTAGCCGAAATTACAGGCATGCGCTACCACGCCCGGCTGATTTTTTGATTTATTGTAGAGATGAGGTCTCGCTGCCCAGGCGGGTCTCGAACCCGCGGGCTCAGGCAATCCACTCACCTCAGCCTCCCAAAGGTACGGGATTATAGACTGAGCCACCGAGCCCGGCTCAAATGTCTTCTTTTAATTGCCAATCTGGAGGGGAAAATACAATAAAGAAAAACCTGGGGTGGGGGAGCATTAATGAAAAAAGAAGCATTTGTTTTCCCTGCCCTGTGTCTGGAAGTTCTTCTGAGTGACACTGGACTTGAGAGGGTCTCCCGTACAATGGCCAAGACCACCTGTCATGAGCCCCCAAAGGCACTATGTAGTGAGAGGATCCTGGGCACAGTGTCAAGACTTGGCTGAACCTACTCTTCTCCTGCCCCTTGGAACCTTCCACACCAGGGACTCCAACCTGATCCTTGTCCTACGGTCTCCTGGGAGCACATAGATGCTTGTTGAAGTTGGACACCTGAGGTTCCCTACCCAGTATGTCTGAGTAGTGCATTATTGAAAAGTCCTCTCAAAGATTCTGCCATTGGCCAAGTCTGGGGACTCTGCAGAGTGCACTGTGCAGAGAACTGTCACTGCCACCCCTGCTCACAGAGGAGAGTGGTTTTCTTGGCGTGACTGGAAATTACCTCCTGCTTCTCAGCTGCCAGCATGCTTTGGCCTACCTAAAGTATGGGCTGTGAGCATGCACCAGCAGAGAGGAGAAAAGACAAAGGCTATAGGGCTGCATTTCATTCTGGAAGGGGCACAGATTGCTCCCAGTAAGGACACACATAAGCACTGGGGCAGCAGCATGAGTGTGGTCAGCCTGGAGCACTAAGGTAGCTGATCATATGGCCCCGATACTTGTCCTTCCACGAAGGCTGGCAGCTGGACAGGCAGGGGAAAGGTAGCGCCCAGTAGGCATGACCAGACCACAGAAAGGTCCTCCAAAGGAATTCTGTGCCTCCACTACCATAGACAACAGGATAAGTGACTTTCCATATGGGAACAAACATGAGATGATTACAAAAATTAAAGGGCCCTTGAACAATGCCTCTGCCTTCATGACCTGCAAGAGGGTTGTGCTCCGCATGCCTGGGGTGGGAAGTACTGCCCAGTGCTCAGCTAGGGCTCATCCCGTGCCTGGAGCCCACAGCAGGCCAGCAGCACAGCTTTTCTAAGGAGCCCCGATAGGCTGGGGATACTGAGGTGGGATATGCGACATGCTGGGATTCACCATGATGCTAGACTTGTACCAGGGTCATCCTCAGGTGGAAGCAAATTAAGATGGCCTCCAAGCCTCACTCTAAAACCAGGTCCTGTGCTGAGAACTGGCCTAGGCTGACCCTCAGCAGATGACACCTGTATGAGTTTCCTGCAGCTGCTATAACAAGTGACCACAAGCTGGGGGACTTAAAATAACAGGAATTTGTTCTTCCACAGTTCTGAAGTCCAGAAGCCTTAAATCAAGGTGTTGCAGGGCTGCGTTCCCTCTGGAGGCTCTAGGGGAGGATCTGCCTTGTCTCTTCCAGCTGCTGGTAGTTGCAACAATTCCCGGCATTCCTAAGCTTGTAAACCCATTGTCCCATTGTCTGGATCTGTCATCACATGGCTCCTCACCTCTGTGTCTCCATATTCCCTCCTCTTATGCAGATACCAGGCATTGAATTGGGGCCTACCTCACCTTAACTAACTACATCCACAACAACCTTATGCCGAATGAGAATATATTCTGAGGTTCTGGAGGCCAGGACTTGAACCCATCTTTTTGGGGGATACAATCGCCATAGGCATTCCATAGCCAGTGCCAGGCTCGGTCTACTAAGGCTCAGTCTACTGAGTCAGTGAGAAAGTCCTAGTGGAGAGAAAGACAGCCGCCACCTTTGGCTCGGCTTGTGTGGTCACTACACTTGAAGACATGGGTCTTTGGAGAGAGTTGTGACCTCTTATTTCTTTGTACTACTGGAGAGACCCGGGCTTCAATGATGAAAAAGCTCCTGTGGCTGCACCCTGAGATTTCATTCTGGACACCTGTAGCACACTGAATTTCCCCAAATCAGCACCACAAACTAAGGCAGCCAGCAGGGCGGGAAGCATTATTTCAAATTTTAAAGATGAAGACATTGTTTGACTCCACAATCAGGGATGATGTGGTAGGGCCACTAGCATTCCCAGCCTTCTCCCCATGAGTATCCTATCCCTCCTGCTGTGACCTGCAGGTCTTCCTACCACTTGCCCTACCCTTCCCTGGTTGGGGCTCCTGTACCTTTACCAGCCTTGGGTTTGGTGACACAGGGTCTCAGAGTGTTCACTTGACTTCGTGTCCAGAACTAAACATTCCTGAGAGGAGAAACAGGGGTTCTGGTTCTGTACATGTTTAGGAGAATGGATGCTGAATAAGGACAAGTTGCAAACATTCTTCACATCAGTGAAGATCTGGGTCTCACGCGCTCGTGGCTGCCTCAGCACTCTTAGAGAAACCTGCCCATTTGGGTTCTCCATGACAAGACAGGCCACGAGAAGAAAATTAATCAAGGGGGTGAGAACTCAGAACAGTGCTGCCTTGGGCAGGGAGTGGGACCAATAGGAGGGGGCACGGGGTAGAGTGATTGGAGGGCCCTGTATCTTGTTAGAGGGAGGGTGCTTGGGCACATTCACCTGTCAAACCCACTGACCTGTGCCTTTGAGATCTGTGCATTGACAGTGTGTGACTACACCCTACACCCCATGGAGGAAAAAAAGCCCTTTGCAGCTCTGGGACAGGCCTCCTTGCCAGGCTCCCCCTGCCCTCTCTTCCTCCTAGCTTCCTGTTGCTGCTGGTCCTTCTGCCCCCACCCTGAGCCCCTCTGCCCATGTACCCAGCTCTGCCCTGACAAACTGTGACAGTTCAGTCAAGTTCCTAAGTGTTCTTGCGTCTCAGTGGCCATAGTGCAACCTCCAAGATGAAATGAGTTGAGGGACATTGAGGTCTGAGGTGGACCATGGCAAGGCTAAATACTTAACTTCTGACCATTAATGTCACCGCCAAACAAAACCAGGAGCTGCAACGACTAAAACAAAATGACCTGCTGTGACAGTCCTGAGACAAATACCATAACAACAATCTTACATTGATGTCTGAAATCTTGTAATATTTGGATTTGGGATTTTTAGAGCTTTCAAATTAGAAAAATATAAAGAAGATTCTGAATATGTATTCATTTTAACTCTTTAAAGCTTCAGACTTAGTATTATTTGTGCAAACAGTCATTTAAAGAGGAACACACTGAAAGATTTATCTCCAGTTTTGGTAGGATTTGGGGATTTGGTACTATTTTGCCACTGCTACCACTGAGCTAGAGGGAAAAGCAGCCAGCAAAGAGGCTTGGGGGAAGGTATGCTCACCTGTGCCCCTTGTCCAGGAAGCCCATGCATCCTCAGGGCCTGCACAGCCTGGTCTCGCTCCAGGGCCAAGGCCTTCAGCACTACCTCCTGCTCCCGCAGTGCCCGCTCTGTCTCCTGCAGCTTAGCAGCAACCTGGGAAGATGCTCAGATTCAGTCCATCAATGGCCCTCAGGGTAGCTTCCTATCTAGTTTAGGATGGGACAGCAGATGCAAGCAAGAGAAGCCACAGGAAGCAGGTGCATATGACTCAGAGCACCAGGTGCTCCTGCTGTGGAAAGAGCCACACACTCCCCCTGCCCAGCCTGGGCCCCGCCAGCACCATCGAAATCATGTAACTTATCCAATGGAGAAACAGTTCATGCAGCAATACACCATGAAAGCCTGGTGGATAGGGGAGTAAAGAACATATTTTTTATTCCTGTAATTTTTGTTGCTATACATCAAACTGCTCAGTGAGGTTTAGTGTTTTCACATTTAAAAAACAGTTTGGACCAGGTGCAGTGAGTAGCTCATGCCTGTAATCCCACCACTTTGGGAGGCTGAGGTGGGAGGACTGCTTGAGCCCAGGAGTTCAAGACCAGCTTAGGCAACACAGCAAGACTTCATCTCTAAAAAAATTTTAAAATTAGTCAGGTATGGTGGCACAGGCCTGTAGTCCCTGCTACTTGGGAGCCTGAGGAAAAAGGATCGTCTGGACCCAGGAGGTCAAGGCTGCAGTGAGCTCTGATTGTGCCACTGTACTCAGGCCTGGGCAACAGAATGAGGCCCCAACTCAAGAAAAAAATAAATAAATACATAAATAAAATAAAATTTGATGAAAGCCTAGCCTTTCCTGCCACAATCCTGTTGAGCATTGCCCGCCCTGCCTCCTGCAGAAGGCGCCCAGAAGTCCCATGCAACATGGTGGCTACACACACCTGATCTTTCGCCATGGTCAGACCCTGAATCAAAGCCTCTGACTTCTGGATCTGGTCCCTTTCAACGTTGTCACAGCGGCGCTGCCAGTCCAGGCCAAGCTGCACCTGATCACGCTCTAGGTTCCGTTCCTTTTCAACTGCCACGGACAGCTGCTGCTTGTACCTAAAGACATATCCAACCACCCAATGTTAATGTTTCCTTTCATGTGAAAAGCAGAGGTGCAACTGGGTGTGAAGGGCGATGTAAAGCGGCAGTGTGTTCCTCCTGGCCTCCAGGGGCCAGGGTTGGCCTGTAATGTACTCAAGCGGTCCTAGGAACAGGCACATGGGGACATCAGTACAGAGATGAGCAGAAGCCAAGGATTCTCAGATATTGGAGAAAATACAGTATCATGAAAGAGGATGATCATCTCAGGAAGCAGAAAAACCAGCATGTAAGGAGAGAGGGAAAAAGCCAACCAACTTCAAAAATAAGAAAAATGATCACACACAGAGAAATTTGAGAGGATTTTCAGCTATGAAAAGCAAACAACTAAAATAGAGCAAATCAAGTCAAAGAGCAAATAGCAAGTTGGAAGATCAAAGAGAAAGAAAACCCTCCAGAATGTAGTGTAGCCGGGCTCAGTGGCTCAGCCTGTAATCCCGCGCCTTGGGAGGCTGAGGTGAGTGAATTGCCTGAGACTGTGGGTTCAAGACCCGCCTGGGCAACTTGGTGAGACCTCATCTCTACAATAAATCAAAAAATTACTGGGCATGGTAGTGCACGCCTGTAGTTCCAGCTACTTGGAAGGCTGAGGTGGAAGGATCACCGGAGCCCAGCAGGTCAAGGCTGCAGTGGCCGGGAGCGACCACTGCACTCCAGTCTGGGTGACAGAGTGAGAGTGAGACTCCAACTCAAAAAAAAAAACAACAAAAAACAAAAAACCAGAATGCAGTGCAAAGGGACACAGGGATAGGGGAAAAGTTAGGAGGCCCGGAAGTTAAGACTCAGACGAACATCTGACTTCTGATTGGGCTGGACAGATAAGAATGGAGAGGACAAAATCATCAAGGAAGTAAATGCGCAAATCCACCAGAGCCGCACAAAGACACTAGTCTTCAGATGGAAGACAGCTAAAACAAAGGCTGGTTTTGAGGAAGAGGAGGGCAAGTACCATGCCCGTGTGCAGGGGTAGGAGGACCACACACTCAGACCAGAAGAACTCAGTGCTAAATGCTTCAAAGACCCATATACAGACACCCTGAGGAGACACTGGAGAGCACCAAGGATGAAAAGAAAAGCCCAAAGGTTTGTAAGAAAAAAAAAGAACACAAATCGTACAGCTCTTAGATCTCTCACCTGTAACATTGGGACTGAAAGGTGGCGGGGCAATGTAGGGGCAGAACTCTAGGACACGAACAGTGTGGAAATGTCCCTCTTGTCCCAGGTGGTGATCTGGTGATATGGCACTGTGTAAGACTGGAGGGAGAGTCCCCTGCTGGCCTTGAAGCTATGCTGAGACAGGGTACCCGGAGAGAACACACTCCCAAGACCTGGGAGCTCCTCTAGGGCTGAGAGTGACCCTGACTGGTGGCTAGCAAGGAAACAGACATCTCGGCCCCAAAACTGCAAGCACTGAAGTCTGCCCACAAGCCGACAAAGAGTCTGGAAGGGGACCCGAGCCTCTGATGCCTGGCTGACACCCAATTCCATCCTGAAGAGACTCTGAGCAGGGAACTCAGCTGAGCATGCCCAGACCCCTGGCTCCAGAAATGGGTGTTTAAAGTTGTTAAATTTGTGGTAATTTGTTACAGAGAAATAACCAAGTAATACACAATGATTTTTAAATCTGAGGGGAAATGATTTGGAGTCTAAAAGCCTAAACTCAGCTAAATTGCTAATCACACAGGAAGGCAAGAATAAAGACATTTCAAAAATACAAGGCCAGCCGGGCTCGGTGGCTCAGCCTGTAATCCCGCGCCTTTGGGAGGCTGAGGTGAGTGGATTGCCTGAGCCCGTGAGTTCGAGACCCGCCTGGGCAGCGAGACCTCATCTCTACAATAAATAAAAAAATCAGCCGGGCGTGGTAGCGCGCGCCTGTAGATCTGGCTACTCGGAAGGCTGAGGCGGAAGGATCGCCGGAGCCCAGCAGGTCAAGGCTGCAGTGGCCGGGAGCGGCCACTGCACTCCAGTCTGGGTGACAGAGTGAAACTGCAACTCCAAAAAATAAAAAATAAAAATACAAGGCCCAGAGTTTACCACCTGGTGATCTCTCCTGAAGAGACACCATTAGAGGATAGAGGAAAATGTATGAGAGCAGGGCTCCTCAACTATGAGGAAGGACAAGCTATTAACTGCCTCTATTTCCATGCCATAACACCAAGGTTTTGTAAAGCACTACCAAATGCCACAGTACTACCCATCTGCCGCCCACATCCCTAGATACCCAGTACCTCCCTCACTCTGATCCTATCAGCAGAGTGGCAGGTCTGTGGCCCCTACTTTGAGTAGCACTGTGCCTGAGGGCATAGAGGTGCAAACAAAGGCTGAGGAAGAGGAAGGCAAGAGCCAGACCCAGGTGCAGGGGAGGAGGACCACATAATCAGATCAGACCCAGTTTGCCACTGGAGACCATGTGCACCCACATCAGAAACATGGCCTTGCTTTTGGGCATACAAGCAATATTCAACAGAAGCTACTTTCAGAAAGAAACACATTGGTTAATTTAGGCTACTGGTTTTAAAACAAAGTAAACCTTTGTCACTGACACACAAAAAGTACTGATTCATCCTTCACTTGGCCTCAGACGGCCACAAACCAGGCAGCCTGGGAACTGGCGTTTCCTCCATAGGACCCTCTGTGTATGCGTTAATTCCACCTTTTCTGTGGCTGGCCCTGATCCACTTATGGTTTTAAATAGCAAGCCTTGTTCATTCTAGCCAGGATCGATCTGCATTCTCTTCCTGATGACAGGAAAGGACAAAGGCCAAGATGAGTCCTAACTGGGTCTAGCATTAACCCCCCACATATTCATTGGCATTTGAAGCTGGGGATAAAAGAAGGTGGGCCAAGTGATCTGAACATAATAAACAGTAACAAACAAAAGTAGATCTAATGCAATTACATATACATTTTTTAAATCCCTGTGTCTGAAAAATATAAATAAATTCTTAAAATGTCACTTGGTGGCCATGACAGAGCAACTGTTACCAGGCCTGTCTCTTCCCACTTCATGCAATAGGATGCTGGACAGAAAATATGGAACAGTTTTCATTAACTGGACAACAGGCAGTGCAGGACTGTGGTCCCTTAGAGAAGGGACTGCACGAGATGAGCCTAGTTGTTGCCCAGTCTTCTCTCTATAGCACCTTCTAGATTTCCACAAAGGTAGGGTGAACCCAAGCAGATCATGGTGGTCTTGGTGTGTTGAAGAAAAAAAGATCAGAGGTTGAAGAAGCTGATGTGGTTGAAGTGGACTTTATGAGGCAGAGTGCCAGAGAGGAGAGAGCTCACAAAATTTGCACGAGGAACCCTTGAAACTGACTGACAATTCTGCTGCAAACACACAGGAGAAACAAACACAGGCTGGGCAGAGAGCAACCAGCAGGGAGTCATGTGGTGAATAATTGCCAAAGCTCACCAGGGAAGCCAGAGGAGACCTGTAATAACAGGGTTGGTTAGCCCCAGTGAAAAGGCTTTTCCAACTCAAAAAAAAGAGAAAGAAAACAGCTCATACTGCAATATCTAGTCTTTTTTTACATCTTTAATTCCTCTTAAACATAACATGTTATTACAAGATGTTTCTTTTCTGTCTGCATTTGTATTGTGATGGTATTATATATACACATATAATAGGTAAACCTAAGCATGTTTTTTTTTTTTTGAGTTGGGATCTCACTCTGTTGCCCAGGTTGGAGTGCAGTGGCACACTCACGGCCACTGCAGCCTTGACCTGCTAGGCTGAGGCACTCCTTCTGCCTCAGCCTTCCAAGTAGCTGGAACTACAGACGTGCCTCACCATACCCAGGTAATTTTTTAAAATTTTATTGTAGAGATGAGGTCTCACCAAGTTGCCCAGGGGTTCAAGGATGGCCTGGTCACAAACCCCTGGACTCAGGTTATCCTCTTGCCTCTGACTCCTAAAGTGCTAGGATTGCAGGTGTGAGTTACCATACCCGGCCTTAAGCAATATATTTCTTTTTTTTTTTTTTTTTTTTTAGTTGGAGTCTCACTCTGTCATCCAGACTGGAGTGCAGTGGCCGCTCCCGGTCACCGCAGCCTTGACCCGCTGGGCTCCGGTGATCCTTCCGCTGCAACCTTCCAAGTAGCTGGAATTACAGGCATGCGCTACCACGCCTGGCTGATTTTTTGATTTATTGTAGAGATGAGGTCTCGCTGCCCAGGCGGGTCTCGAATCTGTAGGCTCAGGCAATCCACTCACCTCAGCCTCCCAAAGGCGCAGGATTACAGGCTGAGCCACTGAGCCTGGCAACATATTTCTAAATAACCCTTGGACCCAGGAAAAAATCCCAAGGGAAATTAGAAAATATTTTAATGGAATAATATAAAAATTTGTGGAATGCAGCCAAAAAATTTAAAAAGACTTTAAAAATAAATGTGGTCATCTATAGCGGTTCATGTCTGTAATCTCAGCACTTTGGGAGGCTGAGGTGGGAGGATTGTTTGAGACCAGGAGTTAGAGACCATCCTAGGTAGCATAGTGAGACTTCATCTATACAACAACCCAAAAATTAGCTGGGTGCAGTGGCTCCATCTACTCAGGAGGCTGAGGGAGGAGGACTTCTTGAGCCCACAAGTTGGAGGCCGCGGTGAGCCATGATGATGCCATTGTACTCTAGCCTGGGTGACAGAGTGAGACCCTGACTCAAATAATAAAAGTAAAAAAAAAAAAAAATGTAAGTATGCTTCTTTAAAGGTGGAAAAAAAAGACTAACTGGACCTTTAAAAGCTAAAAAATAAAATGTCTGAAATAAAAAATTCACCAGACTTAACACTAGATTAGACACTAGAAGAAGAAAGGTCAATGAATATGAAGATACAGAAGAAAAACAACTGGACAAAAGCACAAAGAAGAGGCTGAGCATGTGAACAGAACAAACCAGCACATATGCACTGAGAGTCCCAGAAGAATGAGACATCCCACATTCACACACAGAACCTCA